TACTAAAGGTTGACATTATTATTCATGCCTGGAACCCATGAAGTAAAACTCATGCGGCTGTGATGTTTGTTGCTAATTAAGATTGATTCATATATTCAGTATATTACTGGTTAACATTAAAATGTGTGCTGAGAAATGTTTTAAAGGTTAACAACTCTGCAGCAAAAACAAAGTTTAAAAAAAATGTAGTTTTAATATTTGATGTGGAAAATTTGTTTGCACACACACTGAACATCTGATGCAATACCACCACTAGCAAGCTGATTGCTATTAAGTTTACAGACAACTGAACATTATTGATTATGCAAACTGTTCAATGCAGTACAGTACAATGAAATAAATGTTTTCGTGGTTATTTATGGAGAAGACAGTGGAACGATGAACACTCAATGACTTTTAATTGGTTATATATTATGTCTAATATATAATATAAATCTGGAACTGGACCAAAGTGTTATTTTGATAACTAAAAGTTGTTTGCATGAACTTTTCCTGAACACTATCGGACGGAGATTGTCCACAAGTCATTATTTTTACTAATCCCTATTGTCGTCACTGAAATTATTTGCATTTTCTATTAAAATTGGAAAGACAAGGAACTTGTTTGTCAAAGCGCAATGGAGCGCAAACAATAAATAAGCTGGTCCTTTTGAATGTTTTCACATAAGCCTTTTTTTAAATACTTTAAAATGTGCACCATTTGCAAAAAGCCGAGTGTGCGTGAACACTTGCATAGAGATAGAAAGCATGTTCTCATGAACCTTGACTCTTGCTGTGTTTAGTGCTGAGGACTCGTAGCCTTGGCATGAATCGCAGTATTGTGGCCGTGTCAGGCCTGTCTGCTCAGACGCAAACACAGGAAAAAACAATCTGAAGCCGATAGATTAAACTTCTAACCCCCAGCGGGGGGGATAGCGCAACGTCTTGTCCCCCGATTGGATGAGTTTGTATCCCCAGCCTTGATTGGGTGTACTAAAAACCTAATAAAATAAACCTGTCAAACCTGGATTTATACCACTCCTAACCTGCACAAGCAAAACCTTAGAGAGCTCTACCTCTAGAGGACTGCTCATGGATAATCTCTCCCATAACGGTCCCATGCTTATGTCCTCGACTGGTTTTCTCAGCATCCCTCTGTCCTGTGTTAATAGCAGGGGTGGCCGGGCCATGTGAGAAATGAAAAGAGGACTTTGTTTCCCAGCGGAGTGAAACAGTCGCAGCCTTGGGTCAGCAAAACTTCTCTTCTGTACATCCATAATCATCTGTCCTTTAAGGGCATGTTTATGTTTGCACATATTTCCTCTTCGATTGTGCCGAAGGAGACTGAACTCATGAGAACGCTGTCGGCCAAGTGTCCTCATATCCTGCACTGGCCGCATCGGCGTAGAGAGGCACCTATTAGCGTCCTACCTTCCTCACGCCAGCTTTAAGGACACTGTCTGCTGCAGAGTTCACAACACAGATGACCACAAGCAATATCAAGTGGTAAGTCGCTTAAATAGAGAAAACACTGCTTGTGGGAAAACGCTGTCTGCGACTGTATCCCATAACGCTGCTGCAATGACCAACGGAAACTGGATTCAGGGCAGCGTCCCAGCAAACTGTGGGTGGGAGGAAAAGGGGAGAAAACGAGCACTGGGAATGTTCAATGTCAAATTACAATAATTACTACATGCTTTTAAAAAGGAGAGTGAATACTGTTCGTTTGACAACCTACAGGCAACTCTGTTGGTGAGTGTACGGTGAATTTCTATCGGATAAATGTCACCCTGTTCTGTGCCAACTCGCTCATTCTTAATTTATCTCCTTTCTTTCATTCTCTTCCAACCTGTTTCCTCTCCTCACTCACACTTTCAAATCCTCTTTCACGCATTCAGACAAGAATTCTTTCCTAACTCTCCTTAATCTGTCTCTTTTTTTTTCCTCACCCTCTGACTGCTTTCTGTCTTCCAGGAGTGCTTGGAGGCGTTTCCGCTCCCAAACTCCACATGAGCTCAGCTCTGCTGTCCCTAGTGGGATATTAATAGGAGAGAGGAGGGGGATGGGGCATTGAGACGCACTCCCAGGAGGGAAGTAAAAGTGGGGAAAGGGCCGGGGCTCCACAGTCGCAGGGAGCGGCAGCTGTAAATCCATCATGAGTTACACACACACACACACACACACACACACACACACACACACACACACACACATAAACACGCTGACAGATATGAGTATGTTCTTATAGGAATAAATGGACGAAAATGATTCGGAAGTTGGAAAAATAAATCTATGAAGCTAGAGAGGATTGTTGGCCACACACACACACACACACACACACAAACACACACACACACACACACACACACACAGCTACCTTCATGAAAGATGAAGTGGAAACCGTCCTTACCTTCAACTGGCTCCGTGTCCCTGCAGTCTGTCCTTCCTCGTGCGTCCACGCTTGCGTTTAAGGTGAGAGGAAGGCGGCGGTCATGCTTAACAAGACACAATGTTGTGTGTGCATTTGAAACAGAAAATAAACAGTCTCCCGTGACAAAAGTGTTTTATTGAGCTGGTGCCCTATCCACCTATCGAAACCCCCTCATGCACACACTGTCTCTGATATTCACTCACTCCCATCGTAATTAACACTGTTGGTCCCCTTTTGCCGTTGTCTTGGTGGGGCGGTGAACACAGGTCCGTCAATTGGAGAAAGTTACTTAAAAGAATGTCAGTTTCACACAATTTATTATTATCAACCACTCCCATCTTAATATGAGGTTGTACTCTTGTGTGGGGGAGGCAGGGACTTGTGGTTGAGCCACACAAAATAAATTATTATAACAAAACTAGGACTGACTACCCACGTCTACCCACGTCTAGAAACGGAATAAACAACCTCCCACCACAAATCTTCACAACCACAACTTTGGACATCTGCATCTCCCCGTTCGACTCTGTCTTGCTTTTTATTCTTGAGCCCCGACAGGCACAGGTGGAACCCAATCACCTCGATGTCACCTGGAACAAAAGAGAGAGAGAGAGTGAGACCGAGAGAAATCCACAGGCAGGACGGGGGAAGGTGTCCCGCCCCAAGGTTGACACGTGACAACAATACCAAAACTAAAGGGCTTTTCACTTGAACGTGTGACTTTTTTAGGTTCCAGAGCACCACTGTAACCTAACACACAACTATCAATACACTTCAAGATACGGCGGCGTAGTGTTCAAAAAGGCTTGAGCTCAATACTGTGGATCTGACCACATAATTAAGCATGTTTACTCTGGAGGCTCTGAGGTAGTCGCTGTAGCCTCTTTTTCTTATGTCACTGATGGCGTTGACAAATGGAGGCAAACGCAGGCTGTCAGTGGAGGTGGACCGAGGGCAGATAAAAGCTGTCATAGCAAAATATTTGCTTGACACGGCGGCCGCGAGGTCTTCATCAGGGCATCAAATGTTGAATAAATGCATGTATACGTCGATGTGGTTCTATTCCATTAGTAATGGTCTTATGTCACCAACCTTTTTACAGGATATATGGGCATGTGCATTTAGCGTAAGTGGCACAAGCATCACGCGCATAGCTAAACAGTGTTTCCTTATTTTATGTGAGGAGGTGTAATAATAAAGTGCTCTATTGGCAGCATCTTCAAGCTTACTGTTGTCCCATATCTCATCCATAGGGGGTGGTTTCTCATCTGAAAAACACATTTTGGGAATGGAAGTCAGCTACTCCCGACAATTGACCCTTAAAACCTCAAGTCCGAATTGCAAATTGAAGCTTTCTCATCTACTTGCTCAATCGCTTAAGAAAACCTAAAATGCACCGAGAATTCAACCATGAAGTGTGTATTGAATTATTGTCCTCATAATATGTCTGTATGTCTGTCTGTCTGCTTCAGTCCCTCTAAAAATAGAGCTGACCAGTCAGCAGCCACCTTCACAATGTCTAAATAGGACAGAGCTCTGACCGCTGTTGTTTCACTTCATCTCTTCTGTTCGCCCTGATCAGCATTTTGTCCAGCTGCAGATTTCTAAAAGTTGGCTTTTTTTCTGCTTTGAACCAAACCAGTAATTCAGCTTTATGCTTTAACCTGTGTTTGTGCAATGTGAACCCACGAGGCTCGTCTTGCAAAGACGAGCAAGCACCTAAAGGTTTTACTGAGGAGGTCTTTAAGATCCTGTGGAAATGCAAACTTATTGGTGTGAACTTTCACAATGTATTCAAGAAAACAGAGAAACTGGTCATGTGTTGTTCTATGAGTTCAATTAACTGCTTTTATCACATCTACTGTTTAATACAAATATCAGCTCTTTATCAGTAATATTATTTCACCTTTCCTTGAACAGTTTCAGTTTCTTCGGGTAATCTGAGAATGAAGTAAAAAAAAAATGGGGAAGTTAAAAAAAAATGTGTGACAGGACGTCCTCGTGGGAGGGAAGAGATCTATTGAGCAATACGGCAGCTCGGTGGCGGCAGACAGTGTTGACAAGTGGAGGTGGATGTGGGCAAGTAAAGACAAAACAACACACACACAGTTAGTAATGGTCCTTTCATAATGGCCTTTGAGCTTAAACCTGTACGTCCATAGAAGAAGAAACAATCTGGAGCCGTCGATGGGGATTTTTTCTTGACATACATTCAAAACTCAACTGATTAATGACGTGACTTCTTTTTGAACGCCTGTTCATGGACCGTTAATGAATTGACAAAGCTTTATTCTGTATTCTGCAATATCACAAAAAAAGGAAACCAGTTGGTCTGCAATATCTTAAGTCTAAACTAACAAACTTTATTAGTCACTTTGAAGAATCTCTTAAACCTAGTAAGATTTCTGCGTGGTCTGTTATGAAAGATATTAATTAGGTTTTTTTAAAAGTTGGGAAAGCTCTGTAGTGATAAAGCTGCGTAATTTGCTGATCTTGGAGAAACCGCGAAATATCCTATTCACAAAAGGCCTCCACCAACCAGTGCATGTGGGACATGATGTTTTTTGTTTGAATTCCACTTGTTACCTGTGAGCGCTGATGTTTATGTGGACAACAATAATCTCAGATGAGGCCTGTAACTGCAGATGCGGTGTGAGTTTATTGCACATTACAATGACTCAAATTCCGATGTACTGTAGGCATGACTAATGTGTTGTATTGATTTCCTTCTTGACTTTCCAAAAAGGGAAGTTGAAACATAATAACATGCACTGTGGGGGTAGAAGTTCCTCTTCTCCACACTTCAGGACTTACAACAGCCTACACAGATGCGTGGTTTTTGTTATTTTTACCTCTTAATCCTGACCCAAGGTGAGTCGATATTCTGCACTTTTCTGTGTGTGTGTGTGTGTGTGTGTGTGTGTGTGTGTGGAGCGCTTCACATTTCCTTTTTACAATCTGCATTGTACCGTCAAGTTTGATTGATTTGCTGTGCCCGGCAGTGTCTTCCAGCACCCGCAGCGTCATTGGCTTCTTTGGGCACAATGTCACTCTGGCCTGCAGGTATGACACCTCACATCACGGCGTCCTGAGTTTCTGTTGGGGACGAGGGGAGGTGCCCACGTTCAAATGCTCCGACACCATCGTCTCCTGGGAGGACGGGCCCGTGCCTTCCATCCCGTCGCCCAGGTACCGGCTGCTGGGCAGCACCGCGGACGGAGATGTGTCGCTGACCATCCTGCACGCCCAGAGGAGCGATGCCGGCCTGTACGGCTGCAGGGTGGAGATCCCAGGCTGGTTCAATGACCACAAGGTCAACACGCGTCTCGTCATGGAGCAAACTCCTCCAGGTTGATTGTGAACTTAAAGTATTTTGTTTTTCAATCTCCTGTTGAGCGACCTGAGAAACGACCGTGGTCATGTTGATCAAAATGATGTTGAAGCTATTTTAGTGGCAGTGTTCATGCATTAAGGGTAAACTTTATTTTTATATGTGGTTGTAAGTGACGGATTCTACTCCTTACAGAAATAGTGACGACATTCGTGACTAACAATGAAGAAGTTGTTGACTCAACCTTGGATCTATTTGAAGCAAAATCAACTGCGGTATTGTATTATATAAAGATATATATTTATGTATATGCTATATGCAGCAAGGTACAAAATGTGTGTACATGATTATACTTTTTACAATGCATAGAGGATGTTACTGATGTGGAAACCCAGTGTTTGTTTAAGAGCTGTTTTGTAAAAAGAAAATGTAGAACTGAAGGAAAATGTGCGCTTAACCACAGGAGGTGTTTTCCTACGAGCGTTTAAAATGCACAGCAGGAAAACTACACCCCCGTAACTTTCACGCAATCTTTTTATTTATTTGTAACAATGCTAAAGCACAACTGACCTTCAGGAGCAAGAACAATTGAAATATGTCACTAGTAGTAGGGATGTGGCTTTGCGTGGGTGTTTGTGGGTTGGTGGTGAGAGCTCACGGGTGCTCACGATAAGGTTCATTTTCATTGCAGGTAAAATCCAAAGACGTCCATGGAGTGGGGAACATTGGCAGGGCGACAGCGGTTTTCCTCTCCGCCATAATCCTAATCCTGGTCCTGGTTTTCAGTAAGTGTGGATTGGATTTTAATTTGTGATTTATGCGCCGTTTAAATTACTTTTCACACGTTGAAGTGTCAATCCAGCCGTTTACGTCACTGACTGAGTCTCTCTTTTATAGACTGATTATATCATTTAATGGTAATATTTCTTCAAATCAGGGAGAAGGTTCCTGCCGAAGAGGCCACTTGAACATCCCCAAACCTCACCTGCTGAAAACGTTTATGAAGTATTATGACGGGTCTCAACATTAAGAGGATGAGCGAGTCCATAAGGCCTTCACGCTTGCTGAATGTGTCTCCTCGTCTTTGCTGACTTGATCCACCTCTTCATCTTTGGAGGGAAAGCGTTTGAGAATAATGGGTCCCAGTGCTCTCAGATAGCTGTGAAAAAAGACAAATGTTTGTTATGTGTGTCTGCCAAATGCAAAAAATATCTGCCAGATTAATTGATTTGGTTTCAATGGCAAAAAGGACGTCTCAGCCCTTAAACGCTGCTAGATGGTTTATACTTGTGCACACAATGCCACCTATTGGACTTAAATCATTATCACAATATTTGAGAAGATTCCACCATGAATAAACTGTACACTCCATAAGAAGCACTTGAGTGTCTCTTACTGCTCAATAGTAAGGTTGATTTAAAAAAAAGTGTATTGTATTACCCTGTATCGCAAAATTAAATAAAGGTAATCAGCCCACCCTCCTTGCATCTGGACCATAACTACACTTCACAGGTGTTATTATTCATTAATAGTATTGATAAAAATGTTCTGTTAATGAAACAAGAAAATCACAAATCTGCCTCAGAAGTTTTGTTGCCAAAAACTGGATTTTTCATCAAGGACGCTTCACATGTTTAGAGGAAGGACCGCCAACGTTCATGTCTTGCTCAAGCCACTTTACTGAAAAGGAGACTGAGTATGAAGTCGACTTCTTTTTAAGTTTCAAGATAAAACCGACAGGTATTTCATTACTTACCCTTGTTCAGAAACGTTTTTTCAAAAGACAAAAATTTGCTATAACCCTGCTTTCCCTTTAAAGTAAAAAGAATATGTTGATTAATATAATTTAATGTGCACTTATGTCTGTGCGGGTTGAACCTGAAAGCAAAAAATAGAGTGCTGAGCAATTTTGCAGTTTTCAACATACAAAATATATTTGATTATAGTGCATCTATAAGACTGTGCCGATTTTGATTGACCCAGTCCCTCATACATTTTCTTTGCAGGGATAAAATGATACCCTGGGAGATGGAAACATTGAGAGGGTGGCAGTTATTTTCTCCTTCTCCATAATCCTCAGTTTGATTTTCCTTTTATCTTGGAATGGTTTAGTTTGTGACTCATCGGATATTCAGATTAATTTGACACGTTGAAAGAGAGTCGGTCTTCCCTCTTTTCTCTATTTTAGGAACATGGTCCATACGGTTTACGGAGTACAATCACATCCAGTGGGAACATTAGTTGGTTGGGTGGGGGCAGTATGTCATTTCATCCCATCGGATTCAAGCAACTACATCGTTTTTTTAGGTTCCACAAGTTCTAACCTGGGTTTGTTTGCCCTAACTCCAGTCGTATTTACGAGTATTGCCATATTTGGCTGTAACACCTGCGGGTTGGGAAGTGGTGAAAGAGGAAGTTCTGTGCTGGTTACCAAACCTCCACCAGACACGAGTGCATCCTCAGCAGAAACACAAGAAATCTGTGGCCTTCTAGTAAACCAGACCTTTCTATTTCCACCAGTGTCTTATTTCAGGACATACTGAGATCTAAATATACATCGATCTGAGAAATGAAGATTACAATTAAATATCTACAACTGTTTTGTTTCTTGCTCAGTTGCTAACGGTAAAGTTAGCTGCAGAGAATTCAGAGTTATTTAGAATATATTTTAACAAATATGTTTTAAGTGTGTGTGCTCAGTTTCACTGCAGAATGGATGCACAGCTATCCTTCGCTCGCCACAAGCCCTGAGAATAAACAAGAGTGAAGGCTGTAAATTGATAACCTTCAAAATGAAACTTGTGTCCTAATGCTGGGATAAGGAACCAAAACCACAGAAAAGGAAGCGTCTCTTTTCTACATTCCACTTCTGCCAGCAAAAGTTGTTTGTTTGAGCACATCAAGGACGGCGTCATGTGATCTGGAAGGATTTCAAAGCTGAAGCGGCACTGTGGTTTGGATCAGTGTGTCTTAGCTGGTGAACCAAATCCTGATTCTGAGACGAGCGTAAAATGACTTTTCAAGGACGACTCCATCTGTGTTGCAATCTCCTCTTTTGTCTTCTCCTGGGTGAGACTGTCACGAGTAATGATTTGTACTCTCATTTAAATGATAATTAAACGTTTTCCTTTAATATGCCAGCGTTACCAAATGTTCCTCGTTGCTGTATTTTCAGGTTGTGCGTCTGCAGATCACATCATAGCCACGGTGGGAGAAGACGTGACTCTGATATGCAACTATGATGCTGAGCAGTACGGCAAGCTTTCCGCATGCTGGGGACGGGGAGCCGTCCCCAGGAGGGGATGTGCCAACGAGGTGATCCGGTCCGACGGGACATCAGTAACCGGCAGGCTGTCGGAGCGTTACGAGCTCAAGGGGGATGTTGGTGTGGGAGACGTGTCGCTGACCATCAGGCAGGTGGAGGAGGGCGACTCCGGGACGTATGGATGCCGTGTGGAGATACCGGGCTGGTTCAACGATCACAAGCACCAGCTGACTCTCACGGTGGTGGCAGGTGAGACGGACGGGATGAGATGATGAGATGATTTGTAGCAAAGTGAGTTGTGGAATTAAGAGAAGAGAAAAGGCGCACAACTTTTTACACATCAAGACTACGTCAGAGGAGTTCTCGTGTTTGAGATAACAAGCACCTGGTTTGATTGACTTTGCATTGTTTAATCTGTTGATGTATGAAGTGATTATGTATTACAGCGCAGTTCCTTTTCTGTGCCTTTTAGTTCGCCCTAACGCCCTGAAGGTGGAGACGAGAGAGGTGAAGGAGAGAACTGTCACTGTTGGCTGGACCCCCGTGTTTGATGGCGGCAAGCCGATCACAGCCTACAGGATTGATCTAAAAAACAAACAAGGTAAGTATTGCCTGCTTACCTTGTTTATAAATAATCTTAAAAGAACTTTGGCAGCTTATTTCTTTCCAAATCTACTTTGAGAAGGGACGTGTGGACTTCTAAATGATCTGTGATGAGTGGGGGCAGGTTGATGTATGTCCATTGTGTTTATTGTTTATTATACTAAAAATTGCCCCTCAGAGATATTAAGCACCACCTTGAACCTTGGATCTAATCTCTGCATCCTTGTGGCGCAGCATCCTGGGATACCGCAGTCAGTACCGAAGTCGCAAATCCGGAACTGACTCAGCTGACTTTGGCTGATTTGCGTCCGGCCGAGCAGTACAACCTTCGCATGTTCGCCATCAACAGCGTGGGCATGAGCGAGGCCAGCAACGTTCTGACCGTCACAACTAAAGAAGCCGGTAGCGTCAGTCATAGCTGGTGGTTTTCTGAAATGATTACGATGGAGCAGAACTAAAATAGCGTCCCATTAAAGATGATGTGCGGCCTCTTAAAGATGTGATTTTCTTTGCAGCGCCAGCGTCTCCTCCCCTGGACATGCAGCTGAAGGGCCTCACTCCTCACAGCATCCAGGTCACTTGGAAGGTAAAGTCGAAATCAAATTTACAAGACAAAATGATCTTAATTTAACGAAGTGTTTTCTCCTGAGCAGCCACCGAGGCTCGATCACAGAAACGGAGTTCTTCGGAGTTACAGCGTGAGCTACAGGGAGTACGACGCCGCCGGCCGGCACTTCAAAAGGTGGCAGCACTCAAGTGTGGCGGCCACGCGGGACGTGGAGAGCGTCGTCCTGAGCAACCTGAGGCCTTCTACCGCGTACGGCGTGATTGTACAGGCCAAAAACAATGCAGGAGTAGGACCCGCATCGACGGCACCGCTCTGCTCCACTCTGGATGAAGGTGAGAAAGGAAACACGAGAAGATACTAAAACTATCAAATCGAGTCATTTGAAGAAGATCCACTTTTTTTTTTCTGTTACAAGTCAAAACGTCGACAGCTTCAACTATCAAATCGTCTTCCTCTGCGGCCACAATCTGGATGCAGGAGACTACGCGTTCCACCTCAGGTGCTTATTGTGCAGATGAATCCTAATCATGAACCATTTATTAACATCTTGAGAACCGCAGAAATACAGTTGGATTGGAAACTTTGTCTTTATTCTTCCCCAAGGTCACATAACTTCAACAACTGAGACTGTAACTGCTGCCACTGGTGGGAGAGAAAGTACCGCAGGAACCTCGTCAGGTACTTGATGTGTGTGTTTCTGGAGTTTCTCCAGTGACACTAAAATGTTACTGTCAATGCGTCATTTTCTATTTCAATCTTTATGTCTGCATGAACTTAAATGAATGGCGATGCCAAATTGAAGTAAGATCGTTGTTACAGTGTCTAGTTGCATAATTGTATGTCACAACTTTAATGCCGATGGAATTTCCATATTAAGTCAAGTTTAAAACCAATGTCTGATAAAGAAACGTGTTCAAAGTCAAAAAACTAAACAGAGCTGCGGAAAAAAGTCTAAATTTCTGTGTCTCCCAGTGCTCCCGGATCCCCCAGTGATCTACTTAACGGAGGTCAAAGACAACACGATTTCCCTCTTCTGGATTCCCGGCTTTGGGGGCGACACCGACATCACCGGCTATTACCTGGAGTGTAAAGCAGTGAACGGTATGAGACACTTTCGATGGAGTGATTAAACCACTTTTCTGTAACTTACATTCTGGTTGTGAAGGCATCTGGTGATATAACATTAAATACAGTTTCCCTTTCTCCTCCTCAGCCTCGTGGGATAACACAAAGATGGTTGTTGAGTTTAGTGCCAACCAGACAGAGGCCACAGTAATAGAGATGTATCCCTCAACATACAACATCCGCATGTTTGCCCAGAACAGTCTGGGCACCAGTAAAGCCAGCAATATCCTCACCATCACCACCAGAGAAGCAGGTGCAGTGATTCTGTTGTTTCTTCTGGGGTTATTCTCATTGGCTGCGTGGTTTTTGACTCCTCGTGAGCTGAGGCTCGTTAGGTCAAGTAGTGCAATCACAGTTCCTCAGAGGACAGGAAACCCCCTTGGATATTCGCAATAATGTATTTTTTCTTTTTTCGCCTCTCAAGCTGTTTTTCTGAAAAGCAACACTTTCAAAACGTGGCTATTTTCCTTTGTGTGTGTTGAAAGGTCATGGGAGAGATGATCTCCTCACCACCGTATCTACGGACACTCATGCTGCTGTAAGTAAACAACGGCTTCAAAATCAATTTAGATTTGAACAAGAACGTGTGAAATCAGTGGTGGAACAAGAGGTCACCAGTAAAAGTTCAATACTTCAGTGTAGAAATCTCTCTGTTAACATTCCTGCATTCAACATCTCACTAAAGTATAAATATTGGCAGTTACCAATGGAAATGGTAACTGTTGACATATATATAAGGAGATCATCGACACATAATGAGAGATGTTTCTGCATCAGCCCAGAAAGGACAAAACAACCACTGGCTCTGATTATGGCCGTTTGTTTATTTACTTTTTCCCGTCTGCCTCCAATCCTACGCTACAATGTCCCACGCAGCCTAGGCGTTGTGCCACATGTCATATTTGTACAAGTATAAATTAGCCTAAAAGGGAAGTGGTCAAAGTAGTAGAAGGAACTTAAAATTGTCCTTACGCAGAGCACCACTGAGCTGCCCGCTCAGCAAGAAAGGGCCATTCAGCGGTGAGAGAAGCACAGTTGAGCATTGAGCATTTTATGTCACACTTCACGGCTGAGTGAGGACTCACAAACGCAGAGGCCGACACTGGAGACCAGATTTGACTTTAAACAACAGGTGGTTCTTTAGCGATGAACAAAAATAAACTAACAATAACTCCAACCGGGAGCGAGCAAATTCAACAAAAGGGGCAGTCAGTCATTAACACGATACAGAGCATTGTCACGAGAGAGACCCACATGACACGTATAATGACAATCTGACAACTGCAGCGGGGAAGACGGGGGAGTATGTATGGGTGGGCTGTGATGAGGCATTTGGAGGCAGCTGGGTGGACGAGGCAGATCAGGGGACAGACACACAGAGACACATGAGGCCATGAGACGTTTTATGTAGAGGCCCAAACTGTGTCAAAAGGAGAGTAAATGGGTGCCAGACATTTGACTCCGACTCAAAGGTTTTGTTTCTCCCCCTGATTAAATCAGTAGCCTCCACCAAAAAAGCAGGGATTTGAGGCTCTATACCTCATTGTGACGCTCTGCATCCTCTGTCATTGCATCTGTCGTGTTCATAAGAGTGAAGGCAGCGTTAAACTGTTATTGAATCCTCTCTGCTAGGCAAGTGTGGAGGAGAGTAGAAGTCATCACCTAGCAGCCACCGTGGTGCCATTGGTGCTGGTGGTGACGGCTGTTGCCATAGTAGCCATGTGGCAGCTGCGGCGTGAGTATTCCTAACAGTATAAACTCAATTTAAGTTGGACAGAGGTTCTTTATTTGATCTGATGCTTACTCTCTCTGTAGGAATAAAAAAGAAAAAAGGCAGCCTGAGCATGTGAGTCAGTTGCACGGTTTGTCACATTTGTGTAGAGAACGTCTCTATTCGCAAATAAATGTTATTGCTTCCGCTTGATTGAACCACAACTTTTTCTCGTGTGCAGGTGGCTGACCAACGAAGCTCTACGTCACAGAGGCGCAGAGTCACTACAAGAGCTGTAAAACTTGTTGCCCACTATTTAGCCTACATGTCAAACATGCAGAGGCCTTTTTTTCAAAATTTTCAAAATGAGGTTATAAATGTTTACATTTTATGTCATTAAGAGAAAAAAAACGTGTGTTGTGTTGATCAAACTAATCGTTTTTTTCTCTAAACTCTCGATACCAGAAATGAAGTTAGTCTGGTTGTTTCTTCTCTTTCTAACAATATGTATCAGTTTATGCTCTACTAACCTTCAAAAAGTCATTCTACTTTAGGCTCTAGTAACAAATGTCCAAAGTGTTTGTTAAGCAAAATTCTATTTAGTGTGATGTAAAAAAAATGAATATGTATATCAGCAACAAATGTACCAAATGCGGCTTTAGAAAAAAGTTTAACCACAGATGCTTGCTTCGTGAAAATAAGCTAATGAATTTAAGATGACATTGTTGAAAAATCAAGTTCCATTAAAAAGAATTTCTCTACCCTTTCTTTTTTATTATTTTTTTTATAAAAGCTATTAGTATAAAAATCCTCCCACGGCTAAACTCTTGTCAGTAGTCTAGACTCTGGTGAACATATTACAAATACTGAGGAACTGATGTTTTTAACCAATTCATTTCCGTTAAACCCAAACACTAAAATGATATTTGATATAAAATTATATTTGATATAAATATCATTAGGCCGCCATTTCCGCTCCCGCAACTCGCACAACCAGTGAGCGCCAGCATCCGGTTACCGCCGCCGGGGGGCGCCAGAGTACCGCAGTACTGTCGATCCGATCCTCCTGCAGACTCACTCGGATCACTTAAAAGTCACCTCATCAGCGGCTCAGTTCTCCTCAGAGAGGCACGGCAGCCAGCTGGATTTCCATCCATCTGTCCTGTAGATCTCTTAATTGTCCTAATTAAGGAGACGAGGATGAGGAGGAGATCTGATACCTCTGTGGGGCTCTGAGGCAGCTGCTTGCGAGGGAGTCTCTTACAAATGGGGGATCGCGGGGGGGATACCCAAGCTTGTGTCCCAGTGGGGACTATATGGCCCAATAGGGATGTGTATGAATTGATGTATTGATGTGAATGAATGTTGAAAAAGGGGCTTCCGCTTCCTTTTCTGCTTGTTTATATCTTTTTGGAACCGTTGCTTTTGTTGCTTCTGCACTCGCATGCCTTAGTGCCACACTTCCTGAGAAGTTGACCAACTGTCCACGGTGCTGTAAATATGGCTTGATTGTTCTTTTGCAGTGGTAAGTCATCACAAACTCAGACTTGCAGACGCACAAAGTCACCGTGCGGCGTGAGACCGTGGGCCTGTAAACACAACTCGACCACATCCCCCCCTCTCCGGTCTCCTCGCTTCCGATGTCCCTTCTTTCTCCTCGGCCTCCTCACGCTGGCTTTGCTAACACAAACACTGGTGCCCTTCTGTTCTGGTGCTTTCCTCTGTCTCTCTCCACCGCTCCACCTCCTTTCCTTTCATCCATCTTCTTCTCCGTTTAAGCCCCGCTGATTACGCTGTGTAGAAGGTACATTGACTGAGGAAAGAGGCAAGGAAGGTTGCGGGTAGCGTTGGTTTGGTGACTTTGATGAGGTCGCTTTGATTCACCGCAGCCAAATACAGTTTACCTCCCAGCCACCTCCACCCCCCTCCACCCCCACCGCTTCTCCGGGCCCCCTTGGGACCACGCTTGCCACTCGTTAACCGCACAAGGCCACAAACTAGTCCATCCGACAAGTTGGGAAACAAATGGAAAGAGCTGATTTTGCTTAACGATATGTCATAGCCCCCAACTATTTTTTTTCACCCCGTTCCGGAGTGAACCCCACCCCCCAAACCCTTCACCTATTTCAAACATCCTCTGAGACCAAACATCCATTAGGACAACAAAACTACGCTCCTCATGCAAGCCATTAGCCAGAGCTGGGTCAGCTGTAGCTGGTAAAGGCTTCAATGGGACTGCAGGTGGGAGATTGAGGAGGAAGGGGGGAGTGTATGGTCATAATAATGGTAAGAGTATTAACATTGGGGACAGAGTTAGCACTGTAATAAATCATGCACTGTGGTTCTGGCCACATCAAGGCACCAGCCTTCAGGAAGTGGAGACCCTGAACAGTACCACACACACCAAAGGCTGAGCTCAACAGGAGGGGCTGGTCTGCAGGCCTCGTTGCTCCAGAACGGATGCACCGTTCTGGGCCCGAGGAGCTGCCAGATGTTGGCCCTCTTGGAGGGGCCTTATAAATTTGCCAACAGCAGTGCGGATGTGAGTATTGAACTGATGAAAAAACGAAAGGGGCAGTTTGTGAAAGTGTGCAGAATTCTGGGGTACGGCCCATTTGCTGATGAAAGACACACTTATTGAATCAAATATTTTCCGAACCTCCTTTTCATCTTGTTAAAGCTAAACCATCCCTCAGAATGAAGACGGGTAGAAATCCTAGAATCAGATCCACAAGTTTAACTTAAACTTGGAAGGAAAATCTGATCCCAGTGACTGCTAAGAAACTTGTTGAATACGCTCTAAAAGTCACCCGAAAATGATCTCCATTCAGATCATGCATTCGTGTGTGTGTTGATGTGATCTGATTAGCCAACCTGAGCCAGATGGAAGGTAGAACACGTGGTTGAAGGTCAGACATAACTGTTACCATGGAGACATCATCAAGTAAGTATATCAAGTAAGACCAAGTATACCAAGTACAAATAACACTGCGCTGTTGCTTCCGCCGAGGGACCTGCATCAGCCCTGTCCTTGTGTGTGTGTGTGTGTGTGTGCGCGTGTGTGAGAGAACATTAGTGTGTATCTGCATGGTTTTACATGTGTGTCCATGAGCGCAATTGTCATTTTCAATTACCACTCTGCAGTATGCGTTTGAGAATCTACACAGGCATTAAGATTAATTTTCTGATTATTTATTGCTGCTTCTCAATCCCCAAAACTGGAGATAGTATTAGATATTACAAGTTAAATTACTAATTACAGAATAAGGGAAAACTTTTGAACAAAATACTTTTCAGAGGTTGCTCTAAAAAGATCTAACGATGTTCCTGCATTCTTTTGTATATTAAACATCGTGGATGCATAAAGTACGTATGCAATCTGGACACGTTGATGAGATCTATCATAGCTTAAGATATGCTCAATAGTGAAATGCTAAGTGGCAAATTTCAACCTCGGAGGTCTAAGTTTCCATAGAAACACACTTTGTATGGAAGTAGCGAGTTTATCAAATGCTGAAAGAAATCATTTGGCAGCCAGTCATTGAGGACAGAAATAGCTGTACTGACAAGCTTGTTGCCTCCCTTTTGCACACCCATAATCCCTAATGCTCGCAGATATTTCCATAAACGTTTGAACATCCCAAACCATATCTTGTACGATTCACATCACCCGTCACCTCTCATTCAAGCAGCATTAAGTGTCAGATCGCTTTGAACAGAGGCGCGGGTCTTAATCTGTTTAAATGTGCTTCGTTCTCTGCGCCACACCACTGACTTCTTGCTTTTTTAGACACCTGCCCAGAGGCAAAGTTCTAGAAAGGAGAGGCGTCAAATTGGAAGATCTCCATCGTCCTGGCAGCCGAACACAGTGGAAGTCTTGGATCTGTTCAGGGGGATTGGACCAGCTGAGCTCTGCCATGGAAGACAAGTCACTGGCGCTGTGGAATGGGAGAAAGAGTGAGGAGGGCTGCAGGGAGTGAGGGTAAAGTAGAGGAGGAGGGAGGGAGGGAGGAGGGGGGAGGTAATCACATCAGGGGATTAGTGGCTGTTATTAATGGAGGATAAGGCTCTTTGCTGTCACTCTCTCACACACACACACACACACACACACACACATATAGCCTGTCGGTCTGTCTGTCTGTTACACAGCAGCATCTCCTCATTCAACCTCTGGCCTACGGCGATGCACTGTGATTTTGATTTGTAATATTCTAGCTACCTACTTCATGAGGGAGAAAAATGATCTGCTGCCGTTTCTAAATCTGTGTGTGAGCGCTGGCGTGCCACCCAATGAAAGATGGCCATTCAGCGGTGAACAAACAAGACATTTGTCTAAAGTCTTGCATCACCTCGGGGGAAGCATCTTCTTTGCTGTTATTTTCAGTCTCCGTGTGACTCACAAGATCCAAACTTCTTGGCAAGATTTAAAAAAAAAAGAAAAAGAAACCTTTAGGACACCTGTCTGTCATTTAAGCCACGTACACCGAGACATCAATTGACAAACTGCGTTTCTCCACCCAGATACACACGCACATTCAAACGGGGGTTGACGAAGAGCAAATGGTGTGGAATTTTTAGCCTTTATAAACCCACACACACACACACACACACAAACACACGCACGCGCACAGGCAGATGACAGTCACAATGGCTTCTCAGTGAGCCGACGTACGGGCTAAAGAGCCACATTTGCACGCTCTTTCATCAGTGAGAATTTGCCTGGCAGAGAGCGACAAAGACACCAGCGTCGCACCGTGAGCTGCACACACAGCTGCACCACTAGTTTCATCATCCAAATGGAGTTTCACAGCAGTGGCGAGGAAGCCAAAAGTCCCTGAACCCTGTCGCATCACTCCGGAGCCGACTCAAACAGACGCAATCAACGCGCAGACTGAGCATAACGGGAGGGAAGGATGAGAAACTGCCTCCAGTTCATTTTGGCCAAAGGTGTCTGCAAAATGTATAATCAGGATTGTGGATCTGATGCCCGTTTAGTTTGTTTGTTGATCATCCTAAAACAGAGCAACCAACTTGTTGAATTAAAGGTGTAGTTGCTTAAATAGATCGGTACTTTGTAAGTAAGTAAACAATGCTAAAAGTACAACTATCTGCTTTTTTTCTTTACAGGGCTGTTTTTTTAAAAGTTGGTCCCTATGAAGAGATAGAACCAAAGGCCCTGCGGGGATACACACACACACACACACACACACACACACACACACACACACACACGCCAATCTTTCAGTCTGTCAGCTCCGTGCTCATAATCACATCATATCCCCTCGCGTTCCCGTGCACACAACCCCCCCCCGCCCCCCCTGCCTCGCTTCGCTGCAGAGGGGGGAGAAATGTGAGATTCCTCCCAAACGCTATCTAAGATTAAGGCTTTGTGTTTTACATGCGTTATCGTTGCTTCCCTTCGTTATCCCGTCCCTGCTTTTGTCTCAGCCTCCTCCTCTAATTAGAATCTTGTCCCTTTCATTCCTCCGCGCGCCTTTCTTACACCTGCGAGAGCGAGGAGAGGAAGAGCGAGGAGGAGGAGGAGGAGGAGGAGGAGGAGGAGGAGAATAAGGAAAGAGCGGCGAGGGGAAAGATGAAAAGGCCGCCACACGGAGCGAGTGGCGCAGCGCGGTGGAATGCGGCGTCTGAGGGGAGGATGAAGGAGCTTGTCACGTCTCATCACACAAACGTACACGCACACGCACGCACAGGGCGCAGCAGAGACACACACACACACACACACAGACACACACACACACAGTCCCG